CCCTTCCTCTTCATCCGGTGCCAGGTCAGAACCTGTGAGAGTTCAAGAGAGTTTAAAGCAGGCTAATAAGTTGGCTCATTCCTAACTGATATTCCCTAAACAGCTCACATTTACTTAGGAATTTAAAAATTAGAATAAAGGCAAAAGGTTTAAGTTTCGCTTCTCATACTTGGTAACCTTACTCGGGGCAAGGCTTTTAGCATAGTTTTGCAACTTACCAATCGAATGATCAAAACTGATTTCCCCTGAGTTGAAACGTAAGACTCCATCATTGTTTCCAAATTCTCTTCTGCAGCACTGGGTCAATAGGTAAAAGCTGACATTAAAACATGAGCTTTAATTAACGAATTAATCGATAGTTAACATTATATAATGAGTTAATAAATCTTAAAGTTTGCATGCCAGTGTGTTTGGAAGTTGTGTGGGATCCGAAAACGAGACTCAGTTTGGCGTTTTCTTTTTAAAGCAAATCTTAATGTCATATACCCTTTTTAAAAGGTTAATTTCTTATATCCAAGGGTGGTTATATCTTGGTAGTATCTTTCTCGATGGCCACTAAAATAGATTATACCACAGGTGAAATGGTCCTTAAGGTTCCCTGAGACCAAGCTTTGTAATGGACAGGGATTCCTCCAGCTTGATTTTGCTGAGGCAGTCGTTGTGGTTAATTAACGACCACAGTCATGACTTGACACAGACAGCTGAGGCCAGGCATGGAATGTAGAAACACAGGCTAAAGGACAGGAAGAATTGCATAATTAACTAAATGTTCAGGGCAGAGTCAACAAAACAGTTGTTCTTGACAACCAACCCATTTTCTCTACAGTTGCTGAAAACTGTGTGGGTAGGATCCACAGATAATTGGCTCCCTTCTCCATTTCATTTTGCCTGTCTAAACATTGCATAAATAATTACTTGATAAATTCAATGTTGATGTTGGCACGTGAACAGACAGACAAGAGTGACTGCTTCTTTCAAAATTTATAAATCCAATATAAATAGTAATCAAACCCCAAAGGAGAATGCTTAAAAATATTCCTGTTTAACATTCACAATCCAATTTAACTTGCCTAATTTTAACCCACACACTTGTGGAGCTTAATACAGAAACACTCTTGGCCTACATTTAAAATAATGTAACATTTGACAAACTGTTCAAGTATTGAATTTAAAAATACACTCTGCATAAATTATGGTCCTCATATAAACTCCAGATGCATTACTTGCAGGATTAACTTGGGGTTTATTTCTTCCTCAATGCACCATGTATACACACTCACACAAGTACGCAAACACAAGAAAAATGCTAGAAAACATAGTCTGAGAACATACCATGAAAAAAATATTTAATAAGTCAGGGTAAGTAAACGAGTAGTCAATGGAAAACAATTATTTTAAAATTTAAGTTTTCTTTAAAATTACAATTTAAGTATCTCTTAAAGGTACACAAGAAGACATAGACCACCTGCCTCACTCTGGAACTAAAATAGACAACTCATTAGCCACATTATGGCAGCCAAATGGCATGAATTCTTTAGATGCTGAACCTGGTTAAAATAGCAACAGCAAATTTCATGAACAGAGTGAAGGGGAGGAAGAGAAGAGAGAAGAAAAAGTCTAATATAAAAAAAGTCCAATTCTTTATAGTTGTTTTAAATCTAAGGGAAAATTAAAACTCTTATTAAGCTATAACTGCAAAAATTAAAAAGGAAATCCATTTGTTCAAAAAAAAGAAACCTTAGGCAACTGGAGCTGAGGCTGTTGGCATTTATTATTTACTATTGTTACCACATCAACTCTGCCATACACATTTGACTAAATGCACTTGGTTGCTGTGTCTAAAAATGTCCAAGGAATGTACAGGAGAAAGAAGGTAGAAAATCAAATACAATGAGTAGAATATTTTACAAAACTGAAAATGACACCAATTAGGTTAAAATAAAGAATATCCAATTAACTAACATACCTAATTTCACTTTGGTGCTGTATTTAAAGGATTTTTTCAACCTTAACTTATTTTTGAAAAGTACCTTTACTGAAATATAATTCACATACCATTTAATTAATTCAGTGGTTTCTAGTTGAGTTGTACAATCATCACTTCAATCAATTTTAGAACATTTTCATCACCAAAAAAGAAGCCTCATAACTATTAGCAGTAAGTCCTCATTTCTTCCAAATCCCCAGCCCTGGGAAACCACTAATCGAATTTCTGTCTCTTTGCCTATTCTAGACATTTTATACAAGCGGAATCACTTTGCTCTATTATCACTTTGAAGCCAGATTAATTCTAGTTTCACTTTACTTGACACTCTTTGATGGCTTCACACTGGCTACAGAAACATCTTTTACATGGAATATGAGTCCTTCCATAATCTGTTTTCTTCTCTCCTAGTATCTGGTTTCGCTCCCACTAACCACACTCCGGCTGAAGCAAACGGCGTCCCGGACAAGCCAGGTTGTTTCTTCTCTCAGTGCTTCTCTTATCCTGCTCTACTCGGTGGTCTCTACTTGTTGGTTAAGACTCTGTGAAAACTTTTCTTGCACCCTCCTCCAGGAGAGGGGACCAATGCCTCCTTCAAGGGCAGTTTTCTACCCTCAGTTGTGGGACTTTGTATAGGACCTGGTGCACGGCTACTCCTAAAACTGCATTTCCCACCACTCTGCCCGTTGTTTACTCTGGGCAGACTGGCCTCCTTGCAGGTCTTCACAACCTCCATTCTCATTTTCCAGGAGTAAAAGTATTTTCCCCAGGTATTTCCATGGTGTGTTCTCAGCTTTATTCACCTGTGCTCCAATGTCACCTCCTAAGAGAGATTGTCTTTGAGCACTCTAACCAGAGAAGTTTCAATCCCCTTTTCATTTTCTAAACAGAATTACCTCCTTCTGAGGCCCCTCTACCTTACTTTTTCTCTTTGTAGTACTGATGTAACATTATGTAATTAGGAATGTATCTGTCTTCCCTTCCAGAATGTAAGGTCTGTGAGGATGGGTCTGTTTTGTTCACTGCTGTGAATATTTGTGAATGAATGAATGAATGACACCTGTGACACTTAATTATATGTGTTGGTTTAAGACTTCTGTCTTCCCCACACTGGACAGCAGGGGTTGTATCCTATTCCTCCTAGTTTACTCAGTGCTCCTTCCTGGCACAAAATAACTTCTTAATATTCCTTGTATGACTGAATGATGTCAAGTATAAATTACCTGTAACAATGGTTCCCAACAAAGGGACTCTGAATCCATGTAAATATGGAATATGGAAAAGTACATAAGCTGAAGAATACAGGTAAATCTTTCCATGAGTCCTTTATCTGAAACTCTTGAGACCACTTCTGTTTTAAGATTCAGACTTGTTCCCTACTTTTTTTTTTTTTTTAAGAAGATGTTGGGGGTAGGAGTTTATTAATTAATTTATTTATTTTGGCTGTGTTGGGTCTTCGTTTCTGTGCGAGGGCTTTCTCTAGTTGCGGCAAGCGGGGGCCACTCTTCATCGCAGTGCGCGGGCCTCTCACTATCGCGGCCTCTCTTGTTGTGGAGCACAGGCTCCAGATGCACAGGCTCAGTAGTCGTGGCTCACGGGCCCAGTTGCTCCGCGGCACGCGGGATCTTCCCAGACCAGGGCTCGAACTCGTGTCCCCTGCATTGGCAGGCATTCTTAACCACTGCGCCACCAGGGAAGCCCTTGCTCCCTACTTTATTAACAGCTCTGGTAGGGTCTTGGGCAGACCCTGTAATCAAACACATTAATAGCTTTGCAACGAAACATGTGAAGAGCCCCCCAAAGAATGATAAATAATGCTCAAATCAACTTTTTCTGTCTTGAATTTTTCTGTCAAGAGAAATGTTAAGAGTTTGGGATTTTGGAAGTGTGGATATGGGGCTGTAGACGTGTACTAGCATATGCAGATCTGTGTGATGTTTTATGCTAAAATGGATTCCCCACATTCCAGTTTAGAAATCACTGATTTAATGCATTAATTTACAAACATCTATTTTTTTTCCAGCATAGCTAGCATTAATGAAGCTTTTACTATGTGTTAGCCCTTGTGCTAAGCTTTTTAAATACATAGGTTAAAAACTACTATTTGCCCCATTTTATGAGTGAGAAAATTAGGGTTTAGAGAGAGGGTTAGCAGCTTGTCCACAAAGCTTGTCAATAGCTGAGCTGGATCAAAACTGCAGCTGTCTCAGAACCAAAAGTCATGTTCTGGACCACCTGGTCACCCTGAATTCATGGAGTTCAAGATAAAAATTCTTTAGTCTTGCCAAGTTTCTTCATGATGTTGAGACAAAGGAAAGTTTCTATAATTCAAGCGAATGTAAAACAATTCCTCAGGCTACAACTCCCTCATTAAAAAAAAAAAAAAATGCTGGCTATAAGTAAACAACATTTAACTGATATTTGTATAACGGAGTAATTTATCTCCTCATGTTTTAAACATTTGTAATGAGAGATCAAGTAATTCCAGATAATTAAAAAATTATGTAGTCATACTAACTTGCCCTGATTTTATTTTTTGCAGAACCATGATCCAAGGGGTGCTATTCCCTAACAGATGAGAGTAGGAATGGCAGAAGAGAACAATCTAAAAAAGGTACTATCACAGAGGATATGTGGATTTTCACACTTACCTTTTTCAAGAGCATCTTAATTGCTTGAATTTTTTTAAGCCAGGCATAAGTTGATCAAATATAATTGTGATGACCAAATTTTGGAACTCTTTCAGAATAACAAAATATAGTAGTGATCTTTTGGGAATAAGGAGTTAGTTGTATAAGAACAATAAAGCTACATTAAAAAAAAAAAAAAACAAACCCCTGCATAGGGCTACAGCTTCAACTGAAGACACAGTGTTTTGGACCTTACCATGCTTATGTGAAAGCTTCAAGTTATGAAATGTAGAGTAGCAAAAGTATAACACATATTCATTTTATGATACAAAAGCAGATAAGATGGACATAAAGGTTAAGAAATGAAAATAACATATACACTAAAAAAAATCACAACAGAAACAGGCTTTATTTCAACCAGACAAGTGAATACTTCCATTAACATCAACTTCTTCAAGACTTGAAGACATAGAAATTAAAGATAGTGCCCAGAGGCAAAGAAGGAAAGTTTCATCATGGAGCAATTGTACTGCCCTTCAAAAATCCCTTTCAGCAATATGCTCAATTCAAAAGATTAATTAGTTCTAAATCATTAGATCTCATGTGTTTCAGTATTTGTATAAGACTCTCATTTGAAAGTTACCCATCAGTCCCAATGATATCTTTCAAACAGAAAAAAAATATATAGATCAGTATAATAATTTTTTTTTAATTTTAGAAAGTGGGATTGAAATACAGTTTAAAATATTTCAAATAAAAAACAACTTTATTATTATTTAAGACGCCTTGTTACAAAGCTCCTAGCTACATACATGTACAAAACACAGATATTACCACATGACATCTCAACCCATGACTTCTCCTAAACATCCCAACGTGAACAGTTAATCTACCGGGAGACTTTCCCCTGTAAATCCCAATATCTTGCACAAGGATTTGTTGCCATTCATACGCTGTGCATGGATGAGGACACCTCATCAGAGAACATTTCAATTTAACATAACCTAACATAAAATAAATCTACCGCAACACTATATGTTCATAAGGGATACGACAAAATTGCATATAATTTTCAACTTTTGCCAGACTCACTAAATTCATGAACACTTTTTCAGAGTTTTCTCTTCAAGGGCACTTTTGAGAGCTTTAGATCTCGTGCTTAACTTTGTATTGAGTTGGTCAGCACCTTGATTAATATGAACAATTACATTAAAGAACGGTATTGGAGGGGGGACGGGGAGTCATCTGAGGACAGAAACAGGGGGAAGGACTCTCTTTTTCCCTAAGACATTCAAACAGAAAAAACAAGACCCAAAAAGGTAAACAAACAAACAAAATAGTGTTCACAGTAAAACATGACAGATTTGTAGTTTCATTTGAAACCAACAGCAAATCATGAAACGTCATGAAAAATATAAGTCAAGGTAAAATCTCCTAGAGTAATTACTAAATGAAGTTAAAATTACCACACTGATCAGTAAACCCCAGAAGAAAAATAAACAGCACTTACATTTCAGGTCCTTCTTAAACATCATATCATTTTTCAAAGTCAATGCATAAGATTGGTAGGTTTGGCCACGCTGCACAAATATTTTTTTAAAAAATACAGTATACAGAAAAAACTCTTGTATTCCCCATTTTGAATCATAAGCTCAAAACCCAAGAGAAAAGATCAGCTAGAAGGATTTTAATTATTTACAAATCCAGCAGGTTCATCTGCCATAATGGCTTGGCTTCCGTCCCACAGTGGCTTTCACCCTCTCCAGCCGCAGAGCTTGGATCCCTGTCCCATCTCTACTAGTCATCAGTCATTTTGAACAGTTCCAGCAGTGCCCCAACAGCTCCAAAATAACCCTACAACAACAATGAGAAAACTTCTGTACGATTATCTCTGAACCTTAGTCCAATACCTACTGTTTTTCATAATTCGAGGAATGCTGCCCCCTAATGCTATAGATACAAGAAACTTAAAACCTGACCTCTGGCATGAAACATGATATAATAATAATAATAAATGCATTGGATATCTATTTGTTTATATACATTAAATAAATTAACTGATGTAAAGTGCGTAGAAAAATATCTGGCCCCACAGTGTATACTACATCAGTGTTGACAATTTTTAGGATTTTTAGGATTAGGATTGTTTCATTTTAATCCTTGTCATGGCAAAATTCACATTACTCCCATTCCACAGATGAGAAATGGGAGGTAATAAAGTAAATTACCCTTTCAAGGTCACATGAGTTGTGCCAGGGTTCAATCGCAAATCTATCTGACTTCAAAGTTGTAATGTCTCACAAGGTATAGCTCTAAGCTTCCCTCAGTAGATCCCGGAAAGGCATCTAAATCAGCTAAGTTTCCCTTTGCTCATCTGTAAAGGAAAAGCTCACGTTATCTGTGAAAATGAAGGAAGCTGAAAAATGGAAATGTTTAGAGAAGCTGGTTTCCAAAAGCCAAGAGACTCTCCTCCTCTGGTATTTGCCTGACTCAACAGTTACTTACTGCGAAATGGGTGGCATCTGGCAGAACACTACATGGTAGGATCTTTGCCTCCCTGCCAGCTGCCCTCTGAGGGCTCACTATATGCTAGAAATGTACATGGATTTCCTCACTTAATCGTCACAGTAACTTTATGAGACAAATAATATTATCACTGCATTCCACAAAAGCTAAAACAGAAATGGAAAGGTAGAGCCATTGCCTAAGGTCTCCAAGTCAGTGAGGGCCTGTGCTCTCAACGGCTTGGCTACACTACTTCTCTTAGGAGACGCACACTTACATAAGTGGAGTGAGTGGGACTGAGTGAGTGAGGACTCCAGGCAGGGCAGGAAGGCCACCTCACCAGCACCTCCCAAAAGTCCTCTCTCCATAATATCCTCCAGGAAGACCTGCCTAAGTGAGAGTGAACCTAAGAAGGTAGAGAAATTTCTGAGAAACACCTACAAGGAGATATAAAATTGCTCTACTTTCATCGGCCATAGAGACTGAGTTATGATACTTAGTAACAAACCAAAGCCATCATTCACAGAGGCCTAAGATTGTACAAAGGGATGCCTTTTTATCCAGAGAAGTAGGTTTCCCCCAAATGCTGGCTCTTTTTCCTTATCTTACCATCAACTAACTCCCTGTGTGCCCTTGTAGATGGCTTTTAATCCCTGACGGCTTCCAGGCTTTGTTTTCTGCCTTAGTCCAAGAGGATCTAAACTTAGGGTTGCCAGATAAATGCCAGGTAAAACAACTGTGTCCTAGATTTTTAATCGCTAAATATGGCAACACCAGATGGGCTAGAAGAGTGGTCTTCTTTTTCATTTTAATTATTTTTTTAAACAAAATCTTACAAGGGAAATCGGTAACTAAGCAGATAAAAAAGGAGCTGCTCTGGTTGGAGGAGGGGGAGTGAAAATTCTGAGACTCCACTGCCCTCGCCCCCCGTAAAAAAGTTATATCACTTCATGCCTTAGCCTCCTTAAAAAGACAAAAACAAAAACTTTCTTTAGTACAGTTAAACAGTTAACTATTTGGTATTTAACTTCGTATTGTTTTAGATGCTTTAATAAAACAAAACATAGGCTTAGAGAGCTCTAAATAATTTATAAATGCACCAGCAACTTTTCAAATAAATAATTCAGTTTGGAGATGAGAAAAATGCCACAGTAGTTATTCATTACAATTAAAATTTATGACACTCGTTCTCCCAATGTTCTTTCTGCTGCAATATACCCAAGGCTTTGGGTACCTCCCGTGATAAACAGCTGCTCTCTACAGTATTTATTTTGAAGGGGAATAGAAGAAGTGGGAAGAGATGAGGGCTCCCCACTCAGTTTTAGAAACCTCCGATTTGTATTAGTGTAGAAACTGGATATAAGGGCCCCTTTGCATTAACCAGAGCACTCCACTTCTTCTGTAAACAGGCTGCCTAATGGCTAGCACACCAGCCTCTCAAGGCCACCAGGCTACTCGGAGCAGCCCAAGCACTTCTGTTCTCACCAGCTGAGTTGTTTACTTGCCAAGAGTCACCTGTGTTTATCCTCAAATTTGTTTATGACAGTTTGATTGTTAATGTAATAATCTAATGTAATTATATGCCACCCAAACCAATAAAAAGAGTACAAGATGAATGGTCACCTCTTTGAAAATCCAGTTAAATTCTTGAGAAAGATTAAAAAGGTAGTTAACAAGTGAAAGTTGCTAGGAAAGTAGATCTTAAAAGTTCTCATCACAAGGAAAAAAAAATGTAACAATGTGTGGTGATGGACGATAACTAAACTTACACTGATAACCATTTTACAGTATATACATATATCAAATTATTGTTGTGTACCTTAAACTTATACAATGCTATATGTCAATTATATCTCAATAAAAATGGAAAAAATGAAACAAAGATTGAAAAAGGTAGTCACAAACCACTGCCCTCTGTTTAGGTGGATCCTACCTATGAAAGATTGGGAAAATCTAGAATGACTCTGCAACCAAATTGCTTCATAAGTATCTTTAATTTCTTGATCTACTTTAAAGAAACAAACGAGATATCATAAAAGTTGCATAATACTTGTGGATTATGGGGAAAAAAAAGACAGTTACAAAGCTCTGATCAGCAGAACCCATGCTCAAAAATAGGTCTTGGTCCTACATCAAGAAATTGGTGAGTGAATGAACATTTATACATTTTATATTAAAATAGAATGGTAAAAGTAGGAAGATATTTTTCCATGATTAATCATTTAAACATTTTTTTTGTTTTTTTAAATTAACCATCTACTAGTCCTGATTGTTGGATAACAGAGCTTCCATTTTATATAATGTTCTTCCTTATCTTTTGCATAAATGCAAACTAAGGAACCCGCTCATATGTTAGACAACCCAAAAACTTCCATGTAGGACAATTAAGTCCATGTGAACTCAACCTACCTCATGTTCCAAAAACAGAGCTTTTAGCTGTCCTTTGGACCAAAAATCCATGGCATATGCTAGCAGCTTCATGGAGACCATATTGATTCTGAGAAAATTCCCAACAAACACAACTCTGTCAATATTCTGGAAAAAAAAAAAATGAAAGAAAAACAATGGAACCATGACATAAAAATAACATTTAGCAACAGACCCAATGTGCTGCGTATCACTGTACTCCAGGACCTTGCAGAGTGAATTTTTTTTTTTAAGTGGAATTATTTCAGGATTTCCAAGATGAAGTCAAACAAACCTCAGAATGCATTCCACAAGAACATGAGGGGGAGAATTTGGTTGGGGGAGGCAGAGACTAATACTGGGCTCATTTACAGGTATTATGTTAGGCTGCCTTAGATCTGATATGAAATTCAGCTCCCAACATTCACATATGAAATTAAAACTGGAGTTCATCTAAATTTGCCTGTGTATTCCTTAAATCCCCCAAACTTCCAACTATAAACTATATTATTACCAACTCATAAATTATTTTTAAAATTTTATTTATTAAAAAAATTAAAAAAAAAATATTTTGGCCATGCCACGTGGCTCATGGGATCTCAGTTCCCCGACCAGGGATCGAATCTGGGCCATGGCAATGACAGCTCCAAACCCCAACCACTAGGCCACCAGGGAACTCCCAACCAACTCAATAAATTAAATGGCTACGGCATGGTTATTCATCTAACAACTGTGGTCAGGCTGCTCTGTGCCAAACACTGGGAATACAAAAAAGAAACAATACCCAGTCTCTACCTTTAGGATATATGGTGAAATATCCTGTTTGGTCAGTATGTGGGTTACAATATGATAACAAATAATACATTTATATTTTTGTTGTCACGGATACAGATTTGTATTCTGAACACACCCCTCACACTGAGCTCAGCCTATCTGCCACACAGACACTGCTCACTCCTCACTCACTCACAGAGCCAGTTGCTATGGTCACTCATATCAAAGGGAAGGGAGTCTTGGGAGCTGGCATTATTCTGTTCAGTCTATCAAGAGCAACCAGGGTCTGGGAACATCGCCTTCTAACTGTCTGAAGCTTTAACAATACATGAACCCATTAACCACTGTGAAAATTTTCCCTGGCTAGAGGGGTGGGAGGTGGGCCCACGATTAGGGGTCCAGCAGGGACAGGGGAGACCCTGGGTGGGGGTAGGCATGGAGGAAGGGAAGGGAACGTGGCCAGTGCTTTCCCTGTCCACTTAGGCACTGGGGAGCCTGTTGGGCTCCCAGGCCTAATCCTCTGCCCTGGAGCCTCCCTCCTACCCTGCAGAGCCCAAGCCTCACCCCACACCCCCAGCCACTGCCCTGCCTCTGCACTCGGAGACCCCCTCTGAGACCCCCTCCAACACGCTGGGCATAAACCCCAGCCACACACCCTCACCCAGGGCCTTACCTCCAAACTCTGGAACTCCACACTCCAGAGGCTCCCGTTTGGACATGCTGCCTCTCCCCTTCTGCGCAGGTCCTAAGCAGAGGCCCCACCCCACGCTTGAGCATCGCCCCTGCCTAAGTTCCACCCCCTGCCTAAACTCTGCCCCCCATAGCCAAGGCTTTTTATTTTTTTTCTTTTTTCCTCTTTTAGATTGGGGTTCTGTTTCACCTTGTAGTTGATTCATTTATATTTTCATTTTTTCTAATAGTTCTTTTATTTTTGGAATTTTATTTTGTTCTTTATACTTTGTTATTATTCTGCTCCTTTTGGCTTGTTCCCCCTCCTTCTTTTTTTCATTTTTTTCTGTGGTGGATTTGTTTTACCTTGTTGCATTTGTTTCGATTATATTTTTATTTTTCCTAATATATTTTTATCTTTCTAATTTTATTTTATTTTTTATTCTTTGTTATTGAACTGCTCCTTTTTTTTCTCTTTCTTTTTTTTTTTTGCCACACCATGTGGCTTGCGGAATCTTGGTTCCCAGGCTGGAGGTTGGGCCTGAGCTCCTGTGGTGGGAGCACCAAGTCCAAACCGCTGGACTAACTGAGAAGCTCAGACCCCAGGGAATATTAATCAGAGTGAGGACTCCCAGAGGTCCTCATTTCACACCAAGACCCAGCTCTACCCAACTGCCTGTAAACTCCAGTGTGGATGCCTCAGGCCAAACAACCAGTAAGACAGGAATACAGCCACACCAATCAAAAAAAAAAAAAAAAAAAGAAATGACAAAAATACATTACAGATGAAAGAGCATGGTAAAAACCTACAAGACCAAATAAATGAAGATGAAGTAGGCAACCTACCTGAAAAAGAATGCAGAGTAATGATAGTAAAGATGATCCAAAATCTCAGAAACAGAGTGGAGAAAATACAAGAAATGTTTAACAAAGATCTAGAAGAACTAAAGAGCAAACAATGGTGAACAACACAATAATTGAAATTAAAAATACTCTAGAAGAAATCACTAGCAGAATAACTGAGGCAGAAGAATGGATGAGTGAGCTGGAAGATAAAATGGTGGGAATAACCACCAGGGAGCAGAAGAAAGAAGAAAGAATGAAAAGAATTGAGGGCAGTCTCAGAGACCTCTGGGACAACATTTAACACACCAACATTTGAATTATAGGGGCCCCAGAAGAAGAAGAGAAAAAGAAAGGGTCTGAGAAAATATTTGAAGACATAGTCGAAAACTACCCTAACATGGGAAAGGAAATAGTCAATCAAGTCCAGGAAGTGCAGAGAGTCCCATACAGGATAAACCCAAAGAGAAACATGTTGAGACACATATTAATCAAACTATCAAAAATTAAATACAAAGAAAAATTATTAAAAGCAGCAAGGGAAAAGCAACAAATAACATACAAGGGGAATCACCATAAGGTTAACAGCTGATCTTTCAGCAGAAACTCTGCAAGCCAGAAGGGAGTGGCAGGACATATTTAAAGTGATGAAAGGGAAAAACCTACAACCAAGAAAAAACCTACAACCTTACTCTACCCAGCAAGGATCTCATTCAGATTCGACAGAGAAATCAAAAGCTTTACAGACAACCAAAAGCTACGAAAATTCAGCACCACCAAACTAGCTTTAAAACAAATGCTGAAGGAACTTCTCTAAGTGGGAAACACAGGAGAACAAAAAGACTCATAAAAACAAACCCAAATCAATTAAGAAAATGGTAATAGGAACATACATATCAACAATCACCTCAAATGTAAATGGATTAAATGCCCCAACCAAAAGACACAGACTGGCTGAATGGATACAAAAACAAGACCCTTATATATGCTGTCTACAAGAAACCCACTTCAGACCTAGGGACGCATACAGACTGAAAGTGAGGGGATGGAAAAAGATATTCCATGCAAATGGAAATCACAAGAAAGCTGTAGTAGCAATACTCATATCAGATAAAATAGACTTTAAAATAAAGACTGTTACAAGAGATAAGGAAGGACACTACATAATGATCAAGGGATCAATCCAAGAAGAAGATAAAACAACTGTAAATATTTATGCACCCAACATAGGAGCACCTCAATACATAAGGCAATCGACAGTAACACAATAATACTGGGGGATTTTAACACCCCACTTACACCAATAGACACATCATCCAGACAGAAAATAAATAAGGAAACAAAAGCTTTAAGTGACACAATAGACCAGATAGACTTAATAGATATTTTTAGGACATTCCAACTGAAAGTGGAAGAATACACTTTCTTCTCAAGTGCACATGGTACGTTCTCTAGAATAGATCACATCTTGGGTCACAAATCAAGGTTTGGAAAATTTAATAAAATTGAAATTGTATCAAGCATCTTTTCTGACTACAACGCTATAAGATTAGAAATCAATTACAGGAAAAAACAGTAAAAAACACAAGTACATGGAGGCTAAACAGTGAACTGCTAAATAACCAAAAAATCACTGAAGAAATCAAAGAAGAAATTAAAAAAATACCTAGAAACAAATGACAACAAAAACAAAATGATCCAAAACCTATGGAACGCAGCAAAAGCAGTTCTGAGAGGGAGGTTCATAGCAATTCAAGCTCACCTCAAGAAACAAGAAAAATCTCAAATAAACAATCTAACCTTACACCTAAAGCAACTAGGAAAAGAAGAACAAAGAAAACCCAAAGTTAGTAGAAGGAAAGAAATCACAAAATCAGAGCAGAGATAAATGAAATAGAAATGAAGAAAATAATAGCAAAGATCGATAAAACTAAAAGTTGGTTTTTTGAGAAGATAAAAAAAGTTGATAAACCTTTAGCCAGGGACTCATCAAGAAAAAAAGGAAGAGGACTCAAATCAATAAAATTAGAAATGAAAAAGGAGAGATTACAACTGACACCACAGAAATACAAAAGATCATAAGAGACTACTACCAGCAACTATATGCCAATAAAATGGACAACCTGGAAGAAATGGACAAATTCTTGGACAAGTACAGCTTTCCAAGATTGAACCAGGAAGAACTGGAAAATATAGACCAATCACAGATAATGAAATTGAAACTGTAATTAAAAATCTTCCAACAAACAGAAGTCCAGGACTAGAGGGCTTCACAGGCGAATTCTATCAAACATTTAGAGAAGCATTAATATCCATCCTTCTCAAACTCTTCCAAAAAATTGTGGAGTGAGGAATACTCCCAAACTCATTCTATGAGGCCACCATCACCCTGATACCAAAACCAGACAAAGATATCACCAAAAAAGAAAATTATAGACCAACATCACTGATGGACATAGACACAAAAATCCTCAACAAAATAATAGCAAACAGAATCCAACAACACAGTAAAAGGATCATACACCATGATCGAGTGGGATTTATCCCAGGGATGCAAGGATTCTTCAATATACACAAATCAATCAATGTGCTATACCATATTAACAAATTGAAGAATAAAACCCATATGATCCTCTCAATAGATGCAGAAAAAGCTTTTGACAAAATTCAACACCATTTATGATAAAAGCTCTCCAGAAAGTGGGCACAGAGGGAACCTACCTCCACATAATAAAAGCCATATATGACAAACCCACAGCCAACATCACTCTCAATGGTGAGAAACTGAAATCATTTCCTCTAAGATCAGGAACAAGACAAGGTTGTCCACTCTCACCACTATTATTCAACATAGTATTGGAAGTCCTAGCCACAGCAGTCAGAGAAGAAAAAGAAATTAAAGGAATCCAAATTGGAAAAGAAGAAGGAAAACTGTCACTGTTTGCAGATGACATGATACTATACATAGAGAATCCTAAAGATGCTATCAGAAAACTATTACAGCTAATCAATGAATTTGGTAAAGTAGCAGGATACAAAATTAATGCACAGAAATCTCTTGCATTCTTATACACTAACAATGAAAGATCAGAAAGAGAAATTAAGGAAAAAATCCCATTTACCACTGCAACAAAAAGAATAAAATACCTAGGAAAAAACCTACCTAAGGAGGCAAAAGACCTGTACTCAGAAAATATAAAACACTGATGAAAGAAATCAAAGATAACATAAACAGATGGAGAGATATACCATGCTCCTGGATTGGCAGAATCAATATTGTGAAAATGACTATACTACCAAAAGCAAGCTACAGGTTCAATGCAATCCTTGTCAAATTACCAATGGCATTTTTCACAGAACTAGAACAAGAAATTTTACAATTTGTATGGCAACACAAAAGACTGTGAATAGCCAAAGCCATCTTGAGAAAGAAAAACGGAGCTGGAAGAATCAGGCTCCCTGACTTCAGACTATACTACAAAGCTACAGTAATTAAGACAATATGGTACTGGCACAAAAACAGAAATATAGATCAATGGAACACGATAGAAAGCCCAGAGAAAACCTCCACACATACGGTCCCCTTATCTTTGACAAAGGAGGCAAGAATAGACAATGGAGACAGCCTCTTCAGTAAGTGGTGCTGGGAAAACTGGACAGCTACATGTAAAAGAATGAAATTAGAACACTCCCTAACACCATACACAAAAATAAACTCAAAATGGATTAAAGACCTAAATGTAAGGCCAGACACTATCAAACTCTTAGAGGAAAACATAGGAAGAACACTCTATGACATAAATCACAGCAAGATCTTATTTGACCCTCCTCCTAGGGTAATGGAAATAAAAACAAAAATAAACAAATGGGACCTAATGAAACGTAAAAGCTTTTGCGCAGCAAAGGAAACCATAAACAAGATGAAAAGACAACCCTCAGAATAGGAGAAAATATTTGCAAACGAAGCAACTGACAAAGGATTAGTCTCCAAAATATACAAGCAGCTCATGCAGCTCAATATCAAAAAAAACAAACAACCTAATCCAAAAATGGGTGGAAGACCTAAATAGACATTTCTCCAAAGAAGACATACGGATGGCCAACAAATACATGAAATGATGCTCAACATCAGTAATCATTAGAGAAATGCAAATCAAAACCACAATGAGGTATCACCTCACACCGGTCAAAATGGCCATCATCAAAAATTCTACAAACAATAAATGCTGGAGAGGGTGTGGAGAAAAGGGAATCCTTCTGCAGTGTTGGTGGGAATGTAAATTGATACAGCCACTATGGAGAACAGTATGGAGGTTCCTTAAAAAACTAAAAATAGAACTATCATATGACCCAGGAATCCCACTACTGGGCATATTCCCTGAGAAAACCATAATTCAAAGAGTCATGTACCACAATGTTCACTGCAGCACTATTTACAATAGTTAGGACATGTAAGCAACCTAAGTGTCCATCGACAGATGAATGGATAAAGAAGATGTGGCACATATATACAATGGAATATTACTCAGCCATGAAAAGAAACGAAAGTGAGTTACTTGTAGTGAGGTGGATGGACCTACGGTCTGTCATAGAGTGAAGTAAGTCAGAAAGAGAAAAACAAATACTGTGTGCTAACGCATATATATGGAATTTAAAAACGTGGTACTGATGAACCTAGTGGCAGGGCAGGAATAAAGATGCAGATGCAGACGTAGAGGACAGACTTGAGGGCACAGGGTGGGAAGGGGAAGCTGGGACGAAGTAAGAGAGTAGCATTGACATATTTACCCTACCAAATGTAAAATGGATGGCTAGTGGGAAGCTTCTGCATAGCACGAGATCAACTTGATGCTTTGTGATGACCTTGAAGGATGGGATAGGGAGGGTGGGAGGGAGGCTCAAGAGGAAGGGGATGTAGGGATATATGTATACATATAGCTGATTCACTTTGTTGTACAGCAGAAACGAACACAACATTGTAAAGCATTTATATTCCAATAAAGATGTGAAAAAAAAAATATTGTGAAAGGAGGATGTCTCTCTTGTAACCCCAGAGTTCAAAGGAAGGGCTGCCATCCACCTATTATAAAGACTGCCTCATACCCTGTTTAACAGTCCACTATTCAACTAGAAGGGGGGTGGAAAGGGTTTCTGCAGTACCTGTAATGTTCTAATTCTTGATCTGTGTGGTGGGTATTAGGGGTGTGTGTGTGTGTGTGTGTGTGTGTGTGTGTGAAAATTCGTCAGGCTGTACACTTGTGATTTGAGCCCTTTTCTGTAGGTATGTCATATTTCTCTTAAAATTTATATTAAAAAAAAGTCTACTACTGATGCTACTAGATTCTTTAGTGCTTCTTCTACTATTACCTATTCCATGCCCCCTCTTTCTTGTCTTCCTAATACAACTCAGCTGTATTACACACCTACTTTACACATCTTGTATTTCAGAAAAGGGTTCCATTCTTTGCAAAGGAATTTTGCGGTGTTTTAACACATGGTACCAAAGCTTGGTCTGTCATCAGGTCCACCCTTTCTTGTGCCTGGGGCTCTGGCTGGCCCCAGCTGTAGCAAGCTCTCTGTGCTTTGATAGCCCTGTACAATGCTGCTTGAACTCCATGCCACAAGGCAACACTGTAAAGAAGCTGAAAGCAGAGAGAATATCGAATATTGCAAGTGGAATGTTTTACCTGCACTTATTTGCAAGGATGCAGAGAGATTTTCGCCAGCCTTCATTAGGTGTGTGTCCATGAGGTTGGAGAGGTTATGGTATAGATTGTCATTTTTACCATGTTTCCACAGTTAGATGGTTTTGTTTGTCATCATCTAGTGCCTACTTAAAACTAAAACATACTCCTGTCCCTCCCCGCAACACACGCCCCTCATGTCCTACCAGGTGTGACTACGAGGAAGGGCAGGTTTCCTAAGGATCTGTGGTTTTGTGAGGGTCAACAGTTATTGCACTGCCAAACGATGTTTATGAGTGACACATGGCTTTCCCTAGGTTAAGGCCTTACCTCATTCAATGCACACATCCGAGCAATGGAGCCAATGTTGTTGGTGATGGTGACCAGGGTGGCTCGGGCGAGGTCTTCCTTGCTGATGGAATCTCGCTTTTCCTTACTCATCATGTTGCCAAAGCTATGTTGGAAATAGTAGCGAGAGTGTTCAAAATCATCCTTAGGCAGGCCCCATGCTTCCACCAAAGTACTGTGGAAAGCTTTATGAATAACTCTGATTGAGCTCAAATGACCTGATTTGGCTACCATGGTTTACAAGCAGACAGGATTACGGTATGAATGGTTGGCTGCCCTTTTCTTAATAGGGACAAAGTAGCATGGCTATTAACGGGGAAAAAAAAAAAATTTAAATGCCTCTAGATATCTGGACAAGAATGGAACGGGGGAAACCGTTGCAGTTTTCCAGAACCTTCTTTCAAAGCTGCCTTATTTTAAGCACAAGCAACAAGAGCTAAACATCTCAGTGCTTCATCAAGGGCAGGAGATCAAGTCTGAGCTCCAATACCATAGATCCTTGCGCCAGGCTGGTGGGTTGACATTAAAAAAAACAACAACTAAATGAACAGCCAGGGTGGAGAGGTTGCCTTGTGTTTAATCGCTACTCCTCCTAGCTACTTAGTCTCTACCTTGATGCTACCGCAGATCCTTGAAGGCCAAATCGTTCATAGTCTCCTCCGTAAATGTCCTTCACCAGCTTATCAACATTGGTGCTGTCGCCTTTAGCTGCCATTTCCAGAGCTTCTTCAAAGGTCTCACAACCAGTCAGCAAGCAACATAGGCCTAGGAATGTTCCACCTCCAAGACTGAAGGAACAATAAGGTTTATTTTTTAAGTTTTACTTTAAGAGATGCCCATCCAAGTCCCCAACTACATCAATATCACTAATATGGGTTAATAAGAACAGAAGAAAAACAAAGGGGCACTTGAATCAAAGTGCTGGGTGAAAAAGAGCTTTAGGGTAGATTGGATAAAAAAAGAGGGCAGAGACTAAAAGAAACATCAAGGAAAACTCGCCCTGAAGTTTAAGAACAAAACCAGAGAAAGACTCTCACTGATTTCCGTTGTGAGACCTTGAACTAGCCACTGACCTAAGTGCTTCATGCAATCTTCCCACCTATAAAATGGGGCCAAATCATGATCTATCTCCCTTATTTGCGTGGTCTGAAAGCTGCAAATAACCAGAGAAATGACCTCTATTAAAAAGAAAAAATACAAACATATGTAGCTAAACAAATACTTAGAAAAAGAAACTCTGTGTACCTGAAGCACAGTTCATATCTATAGAGACAAACTCTGTGGTGACAAAACTGAACTGGGACGCTGCGTGGAATAGCTGGCCCCCAAGCTGTATCTTTCATCTGACCTTGCTTCTCTAGCAGAAATAATTTCATTTAAGCTCCTCAAAAATTTCAAAACGGAAACCACCGATGGATCTCATATTGGATTTTTTTCTAGTAAACTCTAGAAAAGGTTATTAGTACTTTACTTACCACCCAATAGTCAAAGAATAGTAACAAAGATCTTAAAATGGTTTCAATGCTCAAACCGTGTTTTAAAAGCTTTCAGTTGTTTGGGGGGAAATTCTTCTAAAATAGTCTTTTGAGAAAAAATTAGAAACCAATTATGATAGTTGAAAGTGAACTCAATTGTGTATTAATATCAAAGTTACCTGAGGGGAAGTAAAGCAGATTCAGAGTAAAGCTGTCACCAGTGAGCTCCTGGCAGGAAAGAGCACTGATATGGCCATGAATGGGCCTTACTCTTTACCTACTAGACAGAAGAGCAAATGCACATCAATTTGTTCTGAAGCCTCAAGAGCTGCTAGTCCTGGGAATTCCACATGTGTTTGGCTACTGGCTTTTAAGAGAAAATTCAAGTTGAGATCGAGGTTATTTTTAAAACTTAAATTTGAAAAAAGAAAATTTAGGGTAAATTATACTGACTGTCAATAACTGTTACCAAGAAGGCACCAGATTATAGACACACGGTTCTTTAAATCACATCTAAGGACTAACTGTGATATTTCTTAAATAGTGATTCTTACAAAAATACATACTTGATTGAAATGATGGGTCCTCGTGGAAAATTAGGTAGCTGGGCACAAGTCACCGTATCCAAACTGTAGGTGCAGTACCACAGGACAAAAAGAGCTCTGTGGGCATTATTGCCTTGACACCTCAGTCAGAGTAGAAAGTCTGGATTCCCTCTAAGAAAGTTTGTCTTCATTTATATTTAACAGGGCACCTCATGCGACGCCGTTAGTTTCAGTCTACCCTAGAAAGCTAGCGTGGTTTAAGGGGAACACTTTTTGGTTTGCGTGTCATCTGAATTTGCCTTGTTTTCTCTCTTTATATTCTTCTAAAAGGCTTGGCTCACATTTCTAGTTCCTACCTTTCATCCACACTAATAACCTTTCTTTGAATATCAGGTATTTGGATTCATCAAGGTGTTCAACAACCAACTCCAAACATAGGCACCTGAAGACACTGGCTGACTTAGAAAGAAGGCAACTCATCATCTGATGTGTTGGTATGAGTGAAAAAGGACATGGGCTTTGTATGACTGGAAAGTGACAGGTGACTCCAGACAGAATCGGAGCTGAATGGAGAAAGCGAGCATGGATTGGCACAGCTGGAGTACTGCAGATAGGAGGAAAGAATGCACGGTTGCAGAAGAGCACTTTATTGACCTCCTTAACCTGCTGACCACTCTCCAGTCTAGTGATTCTCTCATAATCAGATACATGTTTGTTTCAGCAGACACACAGCAAGATTCTCAGCAAATCAGAGACCAAAACATCATTTTTTAAAAAAAACCAACCAACTTGTAGTGAGGAATTTTCGGAAGAAGTAGAAGAATCCAATTACTTAATTATCCATGCCCTTAAAACTGATTCCAAAAGAATGAAATGAGCTGCACTGTTCGTTTCACTGAAGTTTTAAAATTCTTTTCATTCCTCTTTTAATAGATTACACATTCTAACAATGTTAGCTGTTAAGTTCTGTTTTTTCAGTTGACTTCTATAATAAAATCGGAGTTGGTCAACAGAAATGTTGCTACTAATCTAGGATGCAGTAAAGTTACAGGAACACTGAAACAAACCATTTAAAATCACATGCTTAAAAGAAAACTGATATCCTGTAACGATGTGGCTTCCTAAAAATAAAAATGCTTAATGGGAAAATAGGGTATATGAGAATAACAAAAAACCTAGAGTTATAGCTATCACAGTAGGAGTAACAAAATTAAAACTGAAGCCTTTGCTTAAATCAGTGATTCCCAAAGTGTATTCCACACACGGATGTCCACTGCTGACCAAAATACAGGCACACCTCATTTTCCTGTGCTGCCCTTCATTACGCTTTGCAGATATTGCATTTTTTACAAGTTGAAGGTTTGCAGCAATCCTGCATCCGCAAGTCTATCGGTGTCATTTTTCCAACAACACTTGCTCACTTTGTGTCTCTGTGTCACATTTTGGGTAATTCTCCCAATATTTCAAATTTTAAAATTATTATTCTATTTGTTATGGTGATCTGTGATGTTTGGTGCTACTATCGATAAGGATTATTACCCACCGAAGGCTTAGATGATGGTTAGCATTTTTTAGCAATAACATATTTTTTAATAAAGGCATATACGTTTTTAAAACATAATTCTAGTGCACACTTAATAGACTACAGTACAGTGTAAACACAACATTTATATGCACTGAGAAACCAAAAAATTCGTGTGATTCGCCTTATGGCGATACTCGCTTATTGCGGAGGTCTGGAATGGAACCTGCAGTATCTCCGAGGTATGCCTCTAGTTTAGATCAGTGGTTTTCTAACTTGGATCTAAAAAAAACCTTTGGCAGAACAACTCTGGTTGGACAAGATCTGGGGCCCAGAGACTTGATATTTCATTCCCCTCCCCCACCTGTGGCAGCCCCAGAAAGGGCTCTCTAGGAACCTTCAGTCTCCTGTAGCACCTTTCCAAAACTACTGGTTAAAGAGAGCTTGTAAGGAAGCTTGGGCATCCACACAGGATTTGTTGATGTTGCAAATCAGTGATCATTAACTGGCATTTACCAGTAACTGGAATGGACAGGCATTATTGCACAAGTGACAGATATCAAACATCACAATTGGGCTCGTTATTCAAAGACAACCCAGATCCTTAGAACCCCCAAGTTTGAGAGAGCGTACCTGTGATATAATTCATGAATTTGTTAAGTGTTAATGAACAAAATTATAAATATCTCTCATTCTGGAAAATGTTTAGCTTGTTGTTACCTTGAGACTAGCTGTACCAATTCAATGGCTCCTTTGGGGAAGCAGTTTGTAGTTTCTTAAAAATTATACCTTTCTCAGGAGATCACTCTCTCAAGGTAAAACCAGCTCAGCCGAATTCTTCGTTTGTCTCAGACAGTTCGGACAGTCCTAATGAGGCCACGGGGCCCGTTGTGATTCTCATGTGAGCAAGTAAGGTTAGTGCTGTATTCTCACTGAGAAAATGTATTGACTAGCGGCAATTAACGTACACACCAAAGCCTATATTCCGGACACAAGCAGGATCAGTCAGAATGTGTGGTTCAGGTTTCTTAACACCACTGTTAACATTTGGGGCTTGATACTTTTTTTGCTGTGGGGGACTGACCAATGCACTGTAGGATACTTAGCAGCGCCCCTAACCTCTGGTCACTAGATGCCATTATCATTGCACCTCCAGTTGTGACAACCAAAAAGTGTCTCCAGACGTTGCCAGATGTCCCCTGGGGGCCTCAATCTTCCCTTCCCCAGTGGTGAACCACTGATGTCTGCAGAACCCATCACAAGTCATGTCAATACAGGAGAAAAGCAGTGCTCTCCTCCTAACAGGTGAGTAGAACCGCAGAATTTCAGTACTGGAAAAGCTTGTAGAAACTAAGAAACAACTCACTCACTTCATGGCACAAACAAGGAAACTGAGGCCCAGAGAAGTTACGTGATATCTTCATCTATCAAAAACAAGGGTTTCAATACCATGTTTCAAAGCACACAACACTAGCTCCTTAAGTTGTTCTTCCAAAACTGGGCTCTGTGTTCCAATAAGTTGAAGAAACACTTCATACCAAATCTTCTTATAAGTAAGGAAAACCTGTTTAATTTTGTTTATACTACAATTTCTCAAAGACTTCTGACCCTGGGTCTTTTTCCCGTGTTGAATCCCCATTAACAGGAAGCTGAGCCCACGTGCCCTTGGGGAGTGTGTACATTAAGAAACATGGTACTCTGCTCTGCTCTAGTTGCAGGGCTGTTTTCCCGTCCACTGCACTCCCCAATTCCCCGTGAGGTGTGCTGACTATTCCAGTTTGCAGCTGGAGCATTTACCTGAGGGTAAAAAACACTCTTTGTAAACCCAATCTGGCTCACTGATTGGAATGACTATTTCAAGCAATTCTTCCTGTGCTAGGCACCAAGGTACTTCCAGAAAGAAGCCCTCTTTGACCATCCCAAGCATCCTTCCACCTGGATTCTACTGTGCATGTGGTCCCTGCCATTCACCTGGCACTTAATATGTCTGCCTTTGGGAAAATTTCTGGTATGTGCAACACTTTTTCCCACAACCTCACCAGTTTCCAACCAAGGCTGTGTTTTATTAACCTTTCTATAAATCACCCTGTGTAACATATCCAATAGATCCTTTTTGGTTGGCTGAGGAGGGTAAGATCTTTCTTTTAAAAATGTATTAAATATAAATAACCTTTTCAGAAAGTGGTCTTCAAGGAAGAGGCCTGGGTTTAAGCACAAAAAGGTTCTTCTAGTGGAAACCACGTTTACCTGGTCCCTGTAACTCTTTTATAGTTGTCCTTGGAGTACACTGCTAGGATGCTGACACCTGAGCCCATGTTCACCAGCAACATAGGGTACGGGTTATCCAGACAGTACGGCCTTTTTTGACACAATTCGGGATTTGTGGGATTTTCAAAATAGTAACATTCCGGCTTGCCGTTGAAGCCAACAGAGTCAACGTAAAGCAGGCCCTGAATCAGACAGTCCAGTTCGTCCAGTTTGTGGAGCTGAAGGTCAGCAATCTGAAAGAGAAGGAACCCTTGTGAGAGAGACCACTACCACCTCAGGGGAAGCCCCCGGAAGCTTTCAGCTGAACTTAACATGTGTCATGAACAGGAAAAGCATGGAAACATCCTTCAAGCACCACGCTGTGAAATCTTGTTGAGAACCAGTCATTCCACTGGAAAGGCAGCCTTTACCGGATGTCGTGTCTACTCACGGTGCCTGCTGAGAGATAGGACCCTACCTGATAGCTGGCAAGGAAGCCACTAGCACGTGGGGTAGGCAGAAGGGTTGCCCCTGAAAGTTACGTCCATGTCCTAATTTTCAGAACCTGTGAATGCTGCCTTATTTGGAAAAAGGGTCTTTGCAGGTGTGATTCAGTGAAGAATCTTGAGATGCAGAGGGCATCCTGGGTTATCTGGGTGGGCTCTAAGTCCACTGACAGTTTCCTTACGAGACACAGGAAAGATCTGACAGACACAGAGGAGAAGGCCGTGTAAAGACGCGAGGCAGAGCCTGGAGAACTGCACCACAGGCCAAGGAAGGCCGATGGCCACCAGTCGCTGGCAGAGGCAGAGAATGGATTCTGCCCAGGAGTCTCTGAAGGAAGTGTGGTCCTGCCAACACCTTGATTTCGGCCCTCTGGCCTCCAGAGCTATGACTGAGTAAATTTCCGTTGTTTTAAGCTGCTAGGTTTGTGGTAATTTGTCAGAGCAGTCACAGGACTGTTAGAGCACTCACCCAGCACACCTCAGGGGGAGGCAAGTGAGAAATGTTCTGAAAGCAGAAAGGCTCCTACGCTTCTTGGCAGGATACGGAGTCCTGAGGGAGGCATGTGAGCCTGGGAGCTGGGGACAATCTCCTCTGAGCCCACACAGCCCAACTCTCCGTTTCCCAAGCCTGGGCTTTGGAGTTCGACAGACCTGGCTTTGAAAGCTATAACTCCAACTCTTACCTAATTGAGGGATGTGGGGCAAGTTACTTAACTTCTCAAGCCTCAGTTTCCTCCTCTGTAAAATGGGAATAATACCCACAGTGCAGTATTGTGAAGGTTACATGATAATAATATATGTAAAATGTTAACACAGGGCTTGGCAAGTGCAAAGGACTCAAAAAATATTGCCTCTTTTATTAATAGCTGAGGTGGTCCCAGAGTGTCCTTTCATGCTCCTATGAAACAACAACTCCTATTCTCCTAGGTACGGGGGAAAAAAGTAAAGGGGAATAAGCTGGCTGAGGGCTAGCCTTAGCAGAGGATGGGTACTTTGCATTCTCAAAAGTTTATTCACGATCCTCAAGAGTGATATTACTGCTGGTCCAAAAAAAAAAAGAATCTAACATTCACCAACATGAAACTGAACCAATGATGGAAGATCATTTTTAAGTTCTAATTTAAATTAAAAAAAATCTCTTTAAGAAAATAATAACTGGTACTTATTATTTACTATATGCCAAGCACCTGTACTAGATCATTTAATTCTCACAAAAACCCTATGAGGAGGTATTGTTATCCTAACTCTATGGTTAAGGCTCATAGAGCTTAAATAATTTTCCCTAAGTGATACAACTAGCAAACGCCTCCTAATAACGCGCTGTTCTTCTCTTGTCTTCATTCATGAGTCCTGCTTCTGGGATCTGGAAACCACCTACACAACTACTATACTTAGATATTTTGCCCCAAAAGCATCATCTTCATTATAAAAGTTAATAGCTAGAAGAAAACTTTTGACTTTTTATCACTCACCTGAATGTCCCATTCAACAAAAATCCACTGAAGCTATACCTGCAGAGCAGAATTAGTTAGAATAGGTTACCAGCAAGGTGGTAGACGTTTTCTTTTTTTTAACATCTTTAAAAATATGGAACGCTTCACAAATTTGCGTGTCATCCTTGTGCAGGGGCCATGCTAATCTTCTCTGTATCGTTCAAATTTTTAGTATATGTGCTGCCAAAACGAGCACTAGACGTTTTCTTGATACGCAGAAACAATCGTTCTAAATGACACTTGGTGATAAAGTTCATCTATTGCATAAGTGATTTTGAACATTTCATTTTTCACCAAGTGGAACTTTTGGGTGAGATGCATGTCATGATTCACGTGTTCAGGGGGTAATACTATAGGTATAAGGCTATCTGGAGACCTAAACACTCTAGTGACACAGCCGTGTAAACGCTACCTCCTCATCCTCCGGGATTCCCTGGCCCTATCAACGTCTTCCAACGTGCTCACAGCGTGGGTCACATTCTGGCTCGTTTTTGGTTCAGTGGGTGCCCCTGAGCACCACGCTCAAAGGCTCATAATAATGGCTTAATAAACGTTTCTTAAATGGAACAGGGAAAACTGTCCCCTCCTGGATCACCACAAACTGAAAAGTAGCGATTTCATCACCCAGTCTTGGGGCCATAGGTTCACCTGCTTAAAAATTAATCGGAGGTCCATCAACAATATTGACAGCAGTGCCCAGAACCAACATCACAAACACGAACAGTGACACCGTCTGTTCAGGGGACATCCTGAAACTATGTTCGGGAAAAAGAAAAACCTGTCGGGGCAAGTAAACAAAGCACGTAGCTTTGCTCTGAAGGGAAAGATCTCACCTTTCCCCTCAAAATCACTTTCAAATAAAGTGCTAGCAGCAAATGAACATCTCTTCTATAACATTTCACTGAGGGATGGATATTTCTGAAGCCTGAGGTCATGCATCCCCAAACAGGGAAACAGAAATATTAGTCGCTTTCATGGAGACCTATGGAGACCTCCCTCAAAGGTCTTTTCCATCCAGGAATACAGACAGGCTCCCAAGTGTAAGCGATGAGTCAAATCATTACTTGGACAGGATGTTCAGATCCCAGCTATGGAGAAACACTCTTTCTTTGGGTTTAGTTTTCTTTATACCAGGGTAACTAAAGCAAATGCTGCAGGAGCCAATAAAGGAGTGAAGTCCCTTGACTAAATGTTAAAGTAACAGAATGATGGGGACTGTGGCCCACAGACAATCCACACGTATTTAAAATTCACTGCAGCCCGTTGTTGCCATGTGGTAATAAGGGCTTAATGTTGCCAAATGATTCTATTTCTCAAGAGCTGGAAACCCAGATTTTTATGTGAAAACTTCCAATTTTTAAATGCTGGCAGCTAGTTTTAAATTAAAAAAAAAAAAAACCATCAGATCCAGCAAACATGCAGATGAAGCTTCAGCTAATGTGAACATAACCTTGTCACCAAGGCGTGCTGGTAAATGTTTAACAACCAGCTCTCTGGGAGCAAATGCCCTGGTTTATAGCATTTACCAATTTCCATGGTATAATCACTCCCACCATAGCCAACTTCAAGCTACCAACACGATGTCACTAAACACAGCGTTGGGAAGACACAATGCGCTCTCATGCACACAATGGGCTCTCGTGAACCAGTAGGAGCTGATTTCAGCACCCCACTGCTTGTGACTCTCCTTAGCACTTTCGGAAAGTATGAGTTCTGCCAATTCCTAAATCATTAAGCTTAAACTATTCCCCAAACTTAACACCAACAAACCAAACTTGCCCTAAGACTCACACTCTGTAAATAACGGAAGTAGGGGAAGAAATAAAGTAAAAAAAGTAATTTTTTTTTCAAACTACTACTATGATAAACTAACTTTGCTTTGCCTAGTCCCAAAGTCACCCAAGCAAGCATGGGTGCAGTGGGGTTCTCAAATTTTAGGTGCCATCAGAATCACCTGGGGGGCTTGTTAAATCACAGATCGCTGGGTCCCACTCCCAGAGTTTCTGATTGCATGTCTAACAATATCGCCAGGTGATGCTGACGCTGTTAGTCCTAGGACCACACAGACTTTGGAGCTGAAGAGCTGGGATTAATGCATGACCCCACTCCAGTACAGTGACAACAGGCCTTCAATAAAATCACATACTCTCCCCAATAGGAGCTGCCTTGGCTAACCTGCAGGGCTGTTTTCAAGAATCCAGTGAGATGGCTGTGTGAACATGCTTTGGAAACATGAGTTATACATGCATTTTATATAAGAAGTAAAATAATTCAGGTCTTCTTATCTCAAGTTGAAATACATTTGGAAACATCATTTCCAAACCGAAAACTCTAATTTCTCAAAGGAATTCAGTGATTCCCTGTATGATGAAATTAGAAAAAATATGGATTCTAAACACATGTTCAGGATACTCTAAGAGGTTCTCCTTATGTGCTTCAGTCTGTCCAAAATAAATACTATTACATATAAGATGGCTAAACAACAAGGTCCTACTGTATAGCACAGGGAACTATATTCAATACCCTGTGATAAACCAGAATGGAAAAGAATATGAAAAAGAATGTATATATATGTATAACTGAATCACTCTGCTGTATAGCAGAAATTAATGCAACATTGTAAATCAGCTAGACTTCAATAAGATAAACTTAAAAAGTAACTAAATAAATAGCTGAGTAAATAAATCTGGTAAAAACCATCCCAGGAGGTCCCATACCTACTCTCTATGGACCTACCCCAAACCAGTCCCATCACTCTCCTGTGCTTGAGAAATGAGTCACCAAATCGTTCTGCACAAAATGAATAAAATATGCATCTGTGTGATACCCCACGCTTCCCAAGGTGCTTTTGCTGACCCTGGCTCCATAAATCATAATGGAAGTGGCAGAAAAGGTTATCTTACTCAACCAAGAACAATTTGCATATAAAATGGTTGACTGAATTATAAATTACACTCGGGGCTCTTTTCTCCTCACACAGGACAGCTAACTGAGACCTGAGAGAGAGAGAAATTTCAAATGTGTTCCGTGAGTGAGAAAAATAACAAAACCTCAAAGATGGCTTCTTCCTCCTGGCACCCAGTGATAAAAGGGGTACACGAATGGCCAAAAGGGTCGAGCCAGAATGAAGTGTAGGATGACGGTATCTACAAAGCTTATGCTCCTGCAATATCACAAATCAGTTCCTGGATTAATAATAGGAACCCAGCTAATAATGAATGGTCTACTTAGATTTAGAATTTCACACATCCACAATTACCTTATTATCCCCTCCTGATGACTTTTCCACCATTATTAACTTTTTTCGGTTGTGTCCTTGGAGATTTCTGGCTTAATGAAGGCCAATTCTTAAGTCCTCACACCTTGAAAAAAATGTAGTGAAACTATAAGAGAATCTTTTACTGTTCCCTAAATCTCATGTAAACCCAATAAGATTGTTGTTATATCCTGCTTGTTTAGATGGTAGGTATTTGTTTTCTTCTAAAAAATGAAAAGAGTCACTTCTAACTTCTAATAAATGTTAGTCTTGAACTGAACAAAACTTACAAGGCAAAGTATCTCTTGTAATGAAGAGCTAAGTGGACAAAAGGGATGACTTTTTTCTAAAAATTTTCTATCATTAGAATACTTTGCATTCTAAATAGGACTCCTGTTGAAGTTGGGAAGTGTACTTGTGGATGAAAATATTAGATTTGGTACATAAAATATTCTGGTAGGTTATTTAAAACAACACTCGCAGAACATAGACAGTGGGGAGAAACACAAAGTTCGATGAACTCTACAGGATTAAGTGCCCTGATATACAACCACATGGGAGCCTCCCCTTTGAGAACCACTTTCTCAAATTGTAGGATTCTTCACTGGCCTACCAATCTCTTGGAGCATATGTTGTTTAAGTTTGTCTTTTGTGTTCCATTTTGTTGAATCATTAATTTTGAAGGCAAACTTTTGCCAGGCAGAAATTTGTTTGTGACAGTGATCCTAAAATGTTGAAGGAAGGAAGGAGAGAGGGAGGGAGGGAGGGAGGGAGGAAGGAAGGAAGAGGGGAAAGGAAGAAGGAGGAAGGAAAAAAAGAAAGAAAAAGGAAGAAAGAAATGCAGCTTTGTTCAACTGGAAGTATTCTACACAGGGGTCTAGTTTAATGCTTGTCTCGTGGCTTTGTAACTCTTTCTTGTACATTCTAAAATTGATGAAGACTAATTAACATTATCTAAGGATTTAAATACATTTACTATATATGAAAAGGACACAGTCATCAGACATAACAATTGCTAACTATTCAGGGTCGGCTGAACATCATTTAGATAGCCCTAGTTACTCGGGTTTTTAAAATACATGTCTGCAAACTTGTATTATGCTCAAAAGAGTGATTTTATATAACAACGACAGGACTTTACAGCTATGTATATACACTGCTTTATTATTTGTCAGATTGTTTACTACATAGTATAGTAGTATATATTGATCCTTTACAACTTAGTGTGCACCTTCAATTTCCCATTCTGGAAAGGGAAGAGCTTGGATACATTACACCTGAGGGCCTTAGCACTTACTAACCCTAACTCTTCCCCATACCAGCCTGGTTTGCTCTATTTCTTCTTCGGGTTCCTACTCCAAAGTTACCTCATCACACAAAGACCTGCCCAGCACTTCCTATCCCCCTTACCTATTTATTTTCCCCACTTATTGCCATTTGATATACTCCATAATCACTTTTTTGATTACTGACCATCTCCCTGCACTAGAATATAAGCTCCAGGAAGGCAGGGGCTTTGTTTTGTTCATAACAGTATTTGTTGCATTGATAGAGTATGATAAATACTTGTTGAATGAGAATGAATGCTTAGGAAAGAGAATGATAAAACCTATTCATCCTCACAAACTTTGGAAGGATCAGGGCATATCACTTACTGACAGACGGGCTACAGGAAGAGATCTGTCTTCAATTGTCTTCACTTTGGCCAAGACTGAGCATGGAAATAGAAGGCAGGCTATATAATACTTTCTTTTATAGATGGCCAGGCTGTTAGGCAAATACTCCAAACTTGCTCCCTGCACCAGTGTGTTCATTAGGCTCCAGAAACCTCCTGAAGGAGCAGAGGCTTCTTTATCTTGGCCGTAATAAGATATGACCTTTCTCAGTTCAGAAACTTGAGAAACACACTTGCTCGTGGCCAACACAGTTTGAGTAACTTTCTGGAATCCAGGGCATTACCCAAGAGGAGGGACGGAGACTTTGATGGAGTTTGCTTAAATGTCCCAGGTCACCTTGGTACACTTCAGGCTCCCTAGTGGAGATGGACACAGAGGACATCCTTGAGGGACCTGGGGAGCTCACAGCGCTAGGGGTGGGTCAGCACTTCCTGAATCAGAATTGAGCCGACACCCAGCTCTCACCTAGGGGACGGTATTTAGCGCCTCTTCATCTCTCTTTAGCTTTAGTTTCCTTATCCGCCTAAACAACTTACTGCCACTTTCTGAAAATGATGAAACTGAGGCCCACAGGAGGGACATGTCTTGCCCAGTCACCCAGCTAGTTAAATGCAGAAACAGCACTAGAATTCAGGATCGGTGCTTTTTCATTTGTGAATTTGAACTTAATTTTCATGCCCCTGGATCTCAACTTTCTCAGTTTCAAAACTCTTCAATCATTGGGTCCCTTTAGAGGGAAAAAGATCCCATGGATCATTGAAGTAAGTGGCAGTGTCAGATTCTGCTGGCAAGGGCAAGGGGCACAGGAGGAAAAGCCAAAACCGGAATATAATCAATCTGATTTAATATAATGCTCTAGAGCTCTATTGCCAGCTCTTGTAGAAACCACTTATCAATGAGATAAATGATGTTACTTTTGATGATGCAAATAAAATTTGCAATTATAGCTTTATTAAGTACCATGAATAATGCATTGATTTATTAATTTATTCATGAATGATAAACTTTCTGGCGAGACTAATCCCCACATCTTCCAACCCTTCCTTCTCCTATGTTCAATCACTACTGTGAATTGAATTCTCTTTATTTTCTCTATCTATTGTTTCTCTTTCTTCTCATTTTATTCCCTGTGAGATGAAGCTAGACAGTATAGAGATTATCTTGACTGTAGAAATGGGGAAATCGGAACACATAGGTGTTAGGGATTGCTTAACAAAGAGAAAGTTAGGACTCCATGTCACCCATCCATATCTTCCACTTAGCCAACTTTGTCAAGTCTAAAGAAGCAACACTGCCAGTCAGGATATAGTATTATTCTTATTATGTAGAGCTATACTCGCTAAATCACGTTCACCAATAAAGCAATTCACCTCCGAATAACGTCAAAGATTTCATTTTTGTTTGTGAGCAAAACTTCTGAAGGACATTCATAAAGCACAAATGATACAGAGCAAACGGGTAGAAAGAAGTAATCATTTTTAGTAAGATGCGTAGAAAGCCTTTCCTGCAGGCCTCAGTCTATATATCTATGAAACTGGCACAACGATTATGGTTTTCATGAAACATAAGAGTCTGGAAAACTAAAATACTTCAGAAGGGGATTTACATCACCTTGTCTTTGGCATATTGTGCAGAAGTAATTGTAACAAAAATGATGAGAACGGCCAATATGTATTGAGCACTAAGTGCTGGGTACATATTATCTCATTCAATCCTTCATGTAACAACCCTATGAGGCAGAAATTATTTTTACTCTCCTATAGATGAGGAAACTGAGGCACAGAGGGGTGAAGTAAGCTTGTCCAAAGTCCCAAGCCTAGTGGTCAGGTTCTTCCATAAGAGATGCCATGATCATGGCCATGGGAGAGGTTTTCTTTCTTTCTCTAAGAGGTGGTTTTGTTGTTTGCAGGGGGGTAAAGCGGACCTACCGTTCTGAAGTCCTCTTCGAACTTAAAAGCCCCGCCTCCCGTGGCACAGAGAGTGGTGTGGAGGCTGGAGAAGTTCTTCTCGCTGCCCATCTGGATGAACCTGTGCATCGCGCAGCTGGGAAAGCGGATGAAATGCAGGTTCCCCTTCCGCCCACACATGGTCAAGTTTTTCAGTTCCAGGTGAACGTCTCGGATCCCGGTTTTCCCATAAGCCGTGTTCGAAGTCAAATACTTCCTGATGCTCTTCAGGTTCTCCACTTCCTCTTGTTCCTCTTCAGCTGTAATATCCTTCGGTTCAAAGTAGACCAATTTAACCAGCGTCCCACCGATATCCATGCCGAACCACGGGAACGCTAGCGGACAGAAAGACAGAGTGCCCTTGAATTCTGGACAAAGAAATGGGCCGTCTTTGAATAGTCAATAATGAAATGCAGTGGTGTTGCATCTATAGCTGCATTTACCATGCAGTTTACCTGAATTCAACTCTAGGTGCCTAAAAGAGACAGGCGAGGAGAAATTCACACTTTAAATGGTGTCCATGATTCTGCCTACATTTCATTCAGAATCGGCCTCGGAATTGAATATGAGATGAGAATAAGATTCCCTAAGCCAGTCTCAATTCCCACGTGGTTCTCAGGGCTCCAGAAACTCACCAAATAGAGTTAACTCCCATACTTAAAGATACATATTTTGCATACACTCTGGCTCCCAAATGCTATTTTATCAGAATCTCAGCCAAAGAAAACAGTGATCTGTTCTGATGCCAGAGGAAACGCTGGCTATGCTAAGTGTACCAAGAGATGGTACGTTGACCTCTACGCCTCACCGTGTTTTCCTAGCTCATTCTTCGATGATCATTTTTACAGCATTCAATTTTTGCCTTCATGTGCTGACTTTATATGACATGACTCCACTGCTTTAATCTACAGAATAAATAGGAAGGAGAAAGGAGAGAGAGTGGGCTGTGAGAGCTGAGGGGCACACATGATGATCCCTATGGCGACAGGATTCTCAAAAGAACAGCTTGAGCTACAACTCATTTCTTTCTTTATTAAGGAGAGAAACTCTCTCCACCTCAAATGGCCTGCCCAGAAGTCCTCACCTCACCCATGTGTCCTCTGCCACAGATTCTGATTTAATTCTGAGGGAGGATCTAGGCACGAGCTTTCTTTTTTTTTTTTTACGTTCCCCAGAGGTTCCAACTTGCAGGCTTGCAAACAGCTAAGCCACAAGAACCATGACCACTGAGAGTCAAGCCCACAAATAGCATAGCTCCTGACCAGGTCTGCAACACAAAGGCATGTTTTGTGTTATATATATATATTTTGCGGTACGCGGGCCTCTCACTGTTGTGGCCTCTCCCGTTGCGGAGCACAGGCTCTGGACGCGCATGCTCCGCGGCATGTGGTATCTTCCCGGACCGGGGCACGAACCCATGTTCCCTGCATCGGCAGGCGGACTCTCAACCACTGCGCCCCCAGGGAAGCCCTGTGTTGTATTTTTATATATAAATATATATTTATATTTTAATCTGCTGGAGAGGCTTATCTATGACAAAATGAATTTCCATCGTAATTATTTTTATTGTTATTAAGAGAACGGGCTGAGCTCCCTGAACAGGCTGACTTTATTTAGAGGCAACCTGGAAAGTTAACGCTGGGCTGTCATATGTTCTGTAATGAACACAGGGCAAACCCAAGTGGGAATCCAATATTTGGAGTCTCCCTTTTCACCTTCCTCAGCAGACTCCATGGGCTAAAGCTGAAACTTCTATTAAAACTGAGCCTAAAGACTCAAGAAGTAAAAGTGGCTTCTTTCAAAAAGCTTATTTTATTCAGCCCTAGAGAACATCCATTTGAGCCCTGGTCAAACTGTGCACATTACACCTAGAGATTACATTGCCAGGAACATGCCTGGGACCTAGAGGGCTTCTTTCTTCTAGGCAGCCCCACTATTAAGCTCTCTTCATGGGTACACTGGGGAGGGAGGAGGAAGGAGTACATAGGAGGAAGCCATTCCTGAACAGAATCTTCTCTCCTGTGCTTCCCTGTTGTCATTTTAGCTGTGATCCAAGCCAGCTGCTCCACACTTAGTAAGCAGTAACTCTAATGGTATAGAAAAATAAAACCTCAAACTCCCAAAAAGAGTAAGAGCAGCAAATGCCACTGACAAGACCAATTTAACAAATGTCCTATTATCTTTGCAGAAGTTTGCAAAGCAAATCCCACACAGCCCAGTGTAGGGTGGGAAGCTTGCTTATCCAGCCTAGCCGGAGAGAATAGAAAACTGGAAACAGTTTATCCCTATCTCACAGATGACATTTCTTGGTCCATTCTCTAAAAATTACTGTCAGCATGGCCCACAGTGTAGGTAGTAGGTAAATCCTTGATTTAGAATTCAGACCAATTGCTTCCCAGAAGCAGCAGCCAGTAACTAGCTCACATTAACTCCCTCCACCTCCCTGGATCTCAATTTCCTTATCTGTGAAAGGAGTGGACTGCATAAGAATGGCCTCCAGTTCCCTCCCTCCCATAAACTTTCCATGGATTTTTAAAGAAACACACACAAAAAATCACAACTACCCCTAATCACACAGGCCATCCAGAGCCCTAGTTTTCAACCCCACTGAAATAAGCTATAGTACATCAACAGGTGCCCAGGCTATGCAATTGGCATTGCAGGTGTAATCCATTCTCATCAAAGTAGGAAAGACGTACTAGTGGATGGGATGGGGGAAGGGTATTCTGGAACATTGCTAGGATAACTATTTTTGAAAGACAACAACATCTATTAAACATCTAGCAACATCTATTAAAATTAAAAGTACACATACATTTTAAATGCAGTTAATCCCTCTCTTGGACCATATTAGAAAAAGGACCAGTATTCGAGGACGGCTATAAGGAAGTTCACTGCACCCCCTACAGTGACCAAATTTAAGAAAAACAAAAAAGCAAGATCAAAACAAATTGGAAACAATGTGCATACCCTTTAACAGAGAAACTTCAATAAAGCATGACTTCCAAACCATGGAACATTAGGCAGACATTAAAAAGAATGAATGAGATCTATACTAACTGCCTAGAGGGATACACCCCCAATCTTCTGTTAATGAGAAAAGCAAGAGATACCAAGAAGTGTAAATAATTTATTAACCCCTTCTGGTTTGAAAAAAAAGTAGGGGAGGGAGGGAGGAAAGAAAGGAGGAAGGGAGGGATGAAGGACAGCAGGCAGGCAGGTGGAAAGAAGAACCTTAAGTGTTTATGATTTTATGAGCCCACAGGACGGTACAGAGGGCCACCCCTTCAGGTTGTTAATATTGTCAGAGGGTGGCAGGATAAGCAGGTTTTATAGGTAGAGGTTAGAAATCAGGGGAGAGGATGAGAAAATTCTATACTTAGAACTTGCAGTATATAAAGAAGTAAAAAAATAAGAATTCAGTGATAATGGAAAATAGGAGACACCTTAGCACAGAATGGACAGAATAAGTTGTGTGTAACCCAGAAAAGCCCCTACATGGCCTTTATTTGGTTGGATATTGTTAAGTACAGGAAACTGAAAAGAGGTCTCACTTTTTAAAATGCATCAGGGGACAGCTAAGCATTTTATAAGTTATTTACAATTCCAGTTTCTTCTTCCTGCTTCACCTCCTGCGCAGTTTTGAGCCATTTCAAAGCTTTTGTTAGCAACTCAGCAAAACGGGGGGGGGAAAGTGTAGAGTTTTGGAAATTCAGTTAAATGTCATATCAGCAGTTTGGGTTAAGGTAAAAGGGAGCAAGGATTGGAAAACTATAGTTTGAATGGCAACAGAAATTGCTTTCACTTACCTATATTCATTTCTTACCTTCATGAAAAATTAAATGCTCTTCTATTCACATTTTAATGCTTTTATAGGACACTGTCATATTTTAAATGTTCAGTTTTATTTATCTTCCTGATATCAAGGTCTACCTAAACTACACTTCCCGTATACGAGCTGTGGATGGACACAATCCATGACTCACGTTTTCTTTAATCCAGGGTATGCAGATGCTTTGATAAATTCAGCTGAACCACTAAGGGCCTGTTCTGTGTTTGCCAGAAGTGATGCTCGTTCTAGATACAGAATGTCTGCATTCACCCTTTACTCCTCCCTTTTAAACCCAGATGCCTTTTTTAGTTCAGAAGTCTCTAGATCAAGAGGACTCACATCCAGAGTTGATGTCAAAGTGACCCCCTAATTTAGTGCCAACTGCATCATCCAGATGCTGTGACTGGGTGGGACTGCGGGGTTCTCTCCTCTGGGGAGGGGATGAGTGTTTCACCTGCAGGAGGGGCAGCGAGCCAAATATCTGGTAATCAGAAGAGCAAACTGTGGTTGTCATTAGGGCTGCTGCTTCCCTTGCTTCCTGGCCCATGGGGTCAGACTACAGTTCCTGGCCATTTCTGAATGGAGCCAGGCAATGTGCTTCATCTGGACAGTGAGTTAGGAATGGAAATGGTGTGTGTCACTTTCAAGCGAGAGCCCTTACGGCTTGTGTCAGACCTTGCAGAACTCTTTCTCTGTTACCGTGACCACCAAAATTAAAGATAACGATTGCTCCATCAGCCAGGATGCAGAGTCAAGACGAGCCATATTGGAACCCCAGCTGCCCATCAATGAACTTACAGTGCGAAGGAGAAATAAACCTTTGTTGTTTTAAGGTACTGAGATTTGGAGGCTGTTCCCGCAGGATGATCTTGCCTGTCCTGACTAGTATACTTTCCATCAAAATCTTTGGCTGTTTTTTTCCCTGGAGCCTTCCCTCTCCTGCAGAACCAGATCCAGGGACTGCCAGTATCGCTGATAAACATGTGGTAGCTGAGTGTTAATAAAAGCGTACATAGGCTCTGTTGCATTTATTTGTGTAAAAATTTCTGGAAACACAAACCTGAATTGGCAATCTGATAGTAGTTAAAACCCTGAAATAAACCTGTATTCTACATAGTGTGGTGAAAATATTTAAAAATTTTATTGGTAGTCAATGGCTTTAAGACAAAACCTGTTTCTTAAAGACCTTTTCAGAACACTAGAATAGTCTCTGAGGGGCACTTAAATATATATAACATCTTTACCGGAGTATAATTCCTTCACAATGAGGACACTTATGCTTCTTGCAGTAAATTTCAAGGGTTACACAGTGAATTCCAAACAGCATAAATGAGTAAAGTGAGAAAAAACCAAAACCAAAATCAAAAACAAAACAACCACACACAAACAGAGAGAAAAGGTGTTCCTACCAGTCAAGGAAACAATCTTAAAGAGCTAAGGGGGCCTGACATGAGAAAATCTACCTCCTCTCAAACAACCGGCCACAGAGCTTTAGGGTATTCC